GCAGAGGCGAGGCGTCGAATGGTTCAGAGTGTTCACTGAACACCTTAACAAAGCTTCCTTTTTAGATTTTTTTTTATCAGGTAAATAATCTCGCTATGTTGCTACTTAACATTTTTTATAATAGCTTTTCCAAACAGATTAACATAAACACAAAACGTCAATACAAACAAAATCACACATACATATGTTATTTACACCCAACATTACTTATAATTAATAAAAGAGAAAACACATTCCTCTTAAAATATACTAAGGTTCAAAATAAAAACTGCATCGCGCTGCTTACAAAGCATGCAAATGAAATAACATTCACATTGGGACTATGTTCAGTATTGAATAAACACATAACATACAAACAAATATAAAAATAAAAGAGAAAACAAGCACCGCAAAATATGTACGTAAAATAATCATAACTCTTAAATTAATGCGTGCAAGCGGTTCAATAAAAAAAGTGAGCCTACAATGTTATGCAAAGTAAATACAAAAGAGAAAAGAAATGACTGAGCGAAAATCGCGTTACATTTGACGAGAGGTTCACTCGACCAAATTGAACCGCAAGTTCATATAAAGCGTGCAAATACAATCAAAGTCACGGTTGCCGTTTTATATGGGCAAATGGTTCAATAAAAAAATTGAATCGCTCATAGCAAATACAAATTAAAAGAGTATGAGAGTTTCTTACTCTTATGTAGAGGTTGGAAATAAACCAAAAACAAAGTCATTATTACAATTTTATACTAGCAAATGGTAAAAGTAAAGAAAAAAACTAAAGAAATTTGAAGTGAAAAATAATATTTAGAAATGGATAAATGTGTGATTAAAGATTTGATTCAAATATCTTTTTTTAAACGATCTTCTAAAAAAAAGTTTTTAATTCATAAAATGAATAGACCAACTCCAGATATGAAAAACTTGGTACCTGATGTAAAAATGTCGAAATCTGTGATAAGTCGTCGTTTTCCTACAGTTATTTACCATAAAAACCAGTGAATCACAGGCTGCGAACATTTAAATAAATTGTTTTGTTGGTCTTGTACGCTATTTGTTTGAGGAAAGGACAAAACTCAGGAGTTGGGGGAATACGTTATAGTTGGAATTCTGTTTTGATCAAATTGTGAACACCTTGTCAAAAAGCTGACGCCTCGCTACTGACTATAGGGGATACTCTAGGGGATATTCATTACCTGGCAAATTAATTTGTATCATAGTTACAACATTCGTTTTCTGAGAACTTTTCTTTTGATTGCGTGGTGCCTTTAATATTTGATGAAATGTATCTATTCTTTAACTATTCTTAAGGCTTTTAGATAGTGGCTTAACCAGGATTAAGTTAAGAGCGGAATGTACAAGAAAATATTGTTTGTTGAGGTTTTGCTACAATTCATAATAAACATAACATATTAAAGGATTAATTAATTAATGAAATTTACAAAAAAAAAAAAACTAAACGATGTTCTTCAAACTTGAGTTAGTACTTAAGTAAATAAGGTTTTAAATATTTTTATATTTATTTAAATTCGTTTTGTTAATATATATAATTTATGTACTGAAATATTTACATCTTTTTATTTTATTATACAACAGAAATCATTATTTTTACTATTCTAGAATATTCGTATACAATTAATTACATTATTTTTATTATTTTTTTTTTATTCACAATATTAATACAAATGTTTTTATGTATTTTTCTTGTTTTTCGCAATACGTAGAGTCGAGCCCCTTGTTAAATTTTGAATGCTCGTGTTTATAATATAATTAACACATTTTAATAAAAAAATACCAAAACATGCGATAAGATTTTAAAAACAATTCTTTAGACTATCAGTGACCTTTGGACTTAAAGATGGTTAAATAAGACATATTAGACCTGCACCAACTAAGCGAAACTGTCAGTAAAGCGTATCGAAATGTCTGGCTTTCGCTGTTGCGTTTAAATAAAAAACAAATAAATAAAATTTATAATGAATATAGTTTAAATATAACATTTAATACGCTAATAGAGTTGATTTTCAAATTAGGAAGTTGGTGTTAAAATCTCTCTTTAATTTATATAAACTTTCTAATTAAATTAGCTAAAAATTTTAAAATTTTATTCCGTTTATAAATAAATACTACTTCTCTATAATTATTAATTAATTTAATTGCATAAAATCATTTTTCGTTTATTAAAATATTAATTCGTTTATTAATTAATATTAAAATCATGTTCAAGCATTACAGGTATTGAATCTCAGGATCCACCGCGTTCACATAGTTTAGTTCTACTATTTTTTCCCAAATAAATTTTTAAATTTGACTAAATATCATATTAAGTATTCTATATTACGAAAAAAACAGCTCAATAATATTATATAATATTACAATATAATAATATTATATATGTGCAGTGTATAATATTATTGTTATGGTTTTATTATTATTATTATTATTATGGTTTTGTCAAATTTTTTTAGCAATCATTGATTTAATTCGATATCTACTAATAATACAATTATATATAAAATATCAATAAAATTATTAAATATGATTTTAAAAGTCAATTATGGCGAAGGAAAGTCAAATACGCCTTTGGATAATTAACACTGACTCTGACGTTCAGATTTGGCAGGGTACGAGTTTAACCCTTGTACTTGCAGTCTCAAAAAAATTATTTACGAATAATTTAATAAAAAAAGTATTTCCAAAAGATCGCTGGTGTTAGGTCTTCGGTAATACTCGAAACAGCTGTTTGGTCAGTCAAAAATTTAATTAATTTATAAATAATAAAATGTTGTAATTTACTACTGTTCAAAATACCTAATAATAAAAATATTATATAGCCCCCATTCAATGTAAATGACATTCAACGAACAGCTACAAAACTTTCATTTAATTGTAAACTTTTTAGCCTCACTTATTCTGTTGACCGTGAACACAACAGATTTATTCATAACGAATTTTTACTACTTTGTATATTTAAAGTAAGCTCATAACAAAATTTGCTAAAAATACTTCTAATAGATAACTTCTGTCTCGTCATAGCAGTAATATATCCAAACTCGACAACCGTATTAGATAGTTATGTAAAAAGATTGTCGAAAGAAAATAAAAGATCGTCGACATTATAAATTCACAACGTACAAAAACATATGATGTAATTCCCAGATGGCGCTAAAACAGACTTAACGTTAAACTAACATAATTGAAGCGCCACTGACTTAAACTATATAATCGGAATACTTTTTGGACTGAATTTATATTAAATTATGAGATAATTAAAATATTAGAAAATATATTCTAAAATTGTGAATAAATTAATATAATATTATTATATTAAAATAAAAATTTGCTCTTAAAGTCTTCGATGATTTTTTCTTAAGTTTGAAGTCGACTATAATTTTTTTTAAAACTTTATTACAATTGGAATTTAATTGAATATATATTGAATCTGATATAATCGTTTCTAAAATAATAATTGCATCCAACAATTCTGTATTAGTATTTATTGTCGACTTATAGGATTATGTCGCTAGTGCTTGTTATCCTTAATATATTATCTTTAAACTAAATAAATAAATTAATAAACATTCAAATTATTATATATATACCTTATTCCAATCTCAATTTTTAGACCATTTTTAGTAAAATTTAAATAAAAAAAATAAAATTGTATTAAATTATAATCAACTCAATGTTCTGTATTAGATTTAAAGCATTAAATCAAGTAATTCCATTTCCATTCATTTAACCTTCTATTTGAAAGCGATAACCTTAAACAGTTGAACAATTTAGAATCTTAAATTATTTTACAAAATTAGCGAAAACAAATAATAACGCAAATAGTCTATAAACCAGTAAGTAACGCTTTCAAAATTTTAGTGTTTTTCTTTCAAATATTAAAGCACAAACACAAGCAAACAATCGACCACATAGCATACAGTGGGGCAAATACAATTGCCCCACTGAATATTTTTCAAGAAAAAAAAATTAATTTTTCAAGAATCTTATTAACTCCCATTGGGTGATTTCCTATTTTGATTTTAAATCTCACCTATGTTTTTCGATCACTTTCTTCGATTTTTGGATTAGCACTCGTATTATTAGAGTGAATAAGGATGCACATGCCCGTGGGCCATGCTTTCGACAGCCATGATATAGGATATAAATAGGTATATAATTACTTGCAAATTTTTTGTACTGATTTTCTACTAAGTGAGGTCTTAGTAAACAAACTACAAGCTATGTATCTATATCTGTTAAATTTGATTCACAAACCATTTTTAACCATCTTGCGGATCACCGAGTGAGAACCACTGATATAGAGGATACAACACAGCACATATTCTCCTAATTAGTTTCAATTTCTTTTTTAATTGCTTTGTTGATTATTATCAAGGGAGTTTCGAAGTAGTTATGTGTAAGCTACTATAGTATTTGTAATGGATGATACTCCTTTATTCCTACTAATCACCTTTATTTGTTTTTGAACAAAGTCGTTTTCATATAAATTTGTAATACATGTTCCATTTTTTATAGCTTGTTACCACACAATATATTTAGAGATGGTCTATTAAGTTTTCTTATTCACATCATGAATTACATAAACACCCAACTTCTTTTAATAACAAGTTTCATTAAAGTTTTAATTTTGATTACAAACAAATTACAAATTAATTAAAAAAATCAATCATTTTTAGTCTTCGGAAATATTTAAGAGTTTAATTTAACCGTACAAAGCTTTTAAACTGCAACTGTCAGGCATTGAATCCTGTTAATTTTGGAGTGGAGACTTAGGTGCTATATATGTATATTATACCTATAACTGAGGTGCTATACTTAGGTGTTTTATTCTTACCCAGAACAAATTTAGAACGAATTAGAAAACTTATATAATTTTATAAAATTAAAATATATTCTCTATTTAATGAAATAATTTATTGTAGTATATATTTTATGAATAATTAATTTTTCTTTCCCTCTCTCTATTTGTAGTCTCATACAACAACGACTGCCGACAATATTAAAAATACTTCTAAGTGTAAGAAAATTTCATATACATATTAAAATAATTATATTACATATTATTTTACATATTAGCAATTATTGGAACTACTTAAATCAAAATGTTTATACCAGTTGCACATAGAGCTTTTAAGTCTCTCCGACAAACCACACCCCGTGTTCGCATATTTCTTATAAATAAAAATGCCTATTCTAGTCAGGTAAGTTTATAGGATGCTTCTTGTATTTTCCTCTGAGTTGTAAAAGAAATACAATTTTTAAAAAATTTAAAAAACATCTAGGTTGAATATAAACCCATACGTTCGGTGCTTGTTGCCAATCGTGGCGAGATCGCCATACGTGTCTTCCGTGCTTGCACTGAATTGGGTATTAAGTCCGTTGCTGTTTATTCGGAACAAGACAAAATGCATATGCATCGTCAAAAAGCTGATGAATCATATTTAGTTGGCAAAGGCTTACCACCTGTTGAGGCATATTTAAACATTCCCGAAATTATCCGTGTTTGTAAGGAAAACGATGTTGATGCTGTGCATCCAGGCTATGGATTTTTATCAGAACGGAGCGATTTTGCTCAAGCCGTTATCGATGCTGGTCTTCGATTCATTGGCCCCTCACCAAAAGTTGTGCAACAAATGGGTGATAAGGTGGCTGCACGTGTTGCGGCAATTGAAGCCGGCGTTCCTATTGTACCTGGTACAGATGGTCCAGTAACTACCAGCCAAGAAGCAATGGAATTTTGTAAAAAACATGGCCTGCCTGTTATTTTTAAAGCTGCATATGGTGGTGGCGGACGTGGCATGCGTGTTGTGCGCAAAATGGATGAAGTTGAAGAATTATTTCAACGTGCTAGTTCCGAAGCCAAGGCAGCATTTGGCAATGGTGCTATGTTTATAGAAAAGTTTATTGAACGCCCACGTCATATTGAAGTACAACTATTGGGAGATAAAGCCGGTAATGTTGTACATTTGTTTGAACGCGATTGTTCAGTACAACGACGTCATCAGAAAGTAGTGGAAATCGCTCCAGCACCGCGTTTATCAAAGGAAGTACGTGATAAAATGACCGAAGCAGCTGTACGTTTAGCCAGGCATGTGGGTTACGAAAATGCAGGAACTGTTGAGTTTTTGTGTGATGAGTCTGGTAACTTCTACTTCATTGAAGTTAATGCTAGGTACGAATATATAACTTTATAATTCTGAACCTTTTTATGTATAATATTTTTTAGATTACAAGTGGAGCACACTGTAACCGAAGAAATAACTGGCATTGATTTGGTACAATCGCAAATACGCGTTGCAGAAGGCATGACTTTACCGGAACTTGGTTACACTCAGGAAAATATTAAACCACGTGGTTATGCTATACAGTGCCGCGTTACAACAGAAGATCCTGCCAATGATTTCCAACCTAGCACTGGTCGTCTTGAGGTGTTCCGCTCTGGTGAAGGTATGGGTATCCGTTTGGATAGTGCTTCCGCCTTTGCCGGTGCCATCATTTCACCGTACTACGATTCCCTCCTTGTTAAAATTATATCGCATGCCAGTGATTTACAAAGTTCTGCCTCAAAAATGAATCGTGCATTGCGCGAATTTCGTATTCGTGGTGTTAAAACAAATATACCATTTCTGTTGAACGTTTTAGAAAATCAGAAATTCCTACACGGCGTACTGGACACATACTTTATTGATGAACATCCCCAATTGTTTAAATTCCGCCATTCACAAAATCGTGCTCAAAAATTACTTAATTATATCGGTGAGGTATTGGTCAATGGACCACAAACTCCTTTGGCTACTGGCTTGAAGCCTGCCGATGTAACTCCACATGTACCCGAAGTGCCTTTAGGTAAGTACAATTTTCGCCTTTATATGTGAAATTTGGCTTCAGTGTTGCTAGCAGCAAAGTTCTATGACTTTTTTAAGTTTTCCTCTTTCATAAACACATTTTTCTATTCAAGCTTTAAGATAAAGGAATATCATACAATAAAAATTCTTTTTTGAAATATTTCATTAAGTAAAAGTATATTACTATCAAAAAAGACTTCAATAAAAAGTAGTTTATTTAGTTTTTTTATATAATTGAATGCTCTTGGAATAAATTCATTATTGACATATTTTACTGTACCTATGTGCCTATTTATATTGCCCATAAACTTGCAGTTATTTATACTTCCAGTTCATGGTAATATGTAAATTTACAGAAGTAGGGGCAGTGCCTGGTTGAATATAAGTGATGCCATAATGAAATAGAATCAATTTTGTTTACATTATACGAACAAATTCTTGTCCTGAATGCGAAATACTATTAAAACAATGGACATGACCCCTGTCAGTATATTCTAACCTGTTAAAGCTTGAGAACGCATAATTGCATATACGTCTACAACTTTCAAAAAAAAAAACTCACATGTAAACGAGAAAGATCACCTTTAGCTGGTAGTCCTTACTATATGCTCTAATATAACATGTATAAATAATTATAAGATTTATATTGGTAAGCACAAACATCTTCCAAAAATTTCTTTCAAGTTGATTATAGTGGCATGGGAAAATTTTAGTTTCAAAAAAAAATTCTGATATTCCACTTGTTTAAAAGAGGATATAACCTTCCTCGAAATTGACTACCCGATAAAAGTTTATGATACGATACAACACATTCTTTTATAAGGATGTGTTCTCCCACCCTTTCATAAACAAATACTCCAGTATATAAAAGAAGTTTATAACTAATATTGAAAGCTCTCTTACTTCTCTCCTTTTCATACTTTCCCATCTACTCACCTATCTCTTTCTTTTTCATAGCTTTCCAAACCTATCTGTTAATAAGATGATACATCCTTTATCTTAAAGAGTCGTACTCACATTACTAGCGCATGCTTAGCACTGAGAAATAGTTCTGCACTATTTTTAGTAGATCAGTAGATATATTTCGATCGATTTTTTTACTGTTCTTGAACTTTTCTTTGATTCTTTGATTCTTTTATTTTATGTTCTTTTTAATAAATTCTATTATTTCGTTTTCTTTTTATTGTAAAATTCTGTATCATTTTGTAATTAACAAAAATTCGAAAAACAAACACGTTTACATATAAACTTTTAATACCAATATGTGAAGATCTATCGCCTGAGGCACTATTGCGTGAAGAGCGTGGCGAAGCTAAAGGTATGTGAAAAATACACTTGAAAAAATTTTATTTGATATTAAAGAAAAATTTTTTTTTCAAAATTATCATAAGTTCACAAATTTATTTATAATTATCTTTTGGCATTTTGGTTGAATATTTTTAAATTTTACATGATTTTAATGGGACTTTGGAAAATTTATGTTATTTTTATAATTATATTTTGCGTATTTTTTAATAAAATTTTGAGCAATGCGTTTAATTCTTTAATAATTTCATTAAAGCTCAGCTTAAGCTATTAATATAATAAGCATTTTTGTGCAATTGTATATATTACAATAAATTCTTATAAACTTTATTTTAAAGAAAACGCTTGCCGTTATCCGAATTTCTGGAATCTGTAAAGAGCTTGCAAGAAGCTTGCAGAGCTAAATGCAATGATAAAAGCATACGTTTTCAATTGATGAATATTCTTATGTAATATATTTATTTAAAATTAATTTATTTTTTTCTCTTATTCCCTCCATTTAAAAAATCTCATTGTGTTTTATAAAATCAAAAACATTACACAGTCACGGAACCCCCAAAAGGATTACGAGGCATACTCAAGTCTCAGGGTCCTGAGGCATTTGCCAAAGAAGTACGTTCTCGTAAGAATTTAATGCTCATGGATACTACCTTCAGAGATGCTCATCAGTCACTATTAGCTACACGTGTACGATCTCATGATCTATTAAAAATTTCACCATTTGTTGCTCACAAATTCAATAATCTATACTCTTTGGAAAATTGGGGTGGTGCTACTTTTGATGTTGCTCTACGTTTCTTGCATGAATGTCCATGGGAACGATTGGAAGAAATGCGTAAACAGATACCAAATATACCTTTCCAAATGTTGTTACGTGGTGCCAATGCTGTCGGTTATACCAGCTACCCGGATAATGTTGTGTACAAATTCTGCGACTTAGCGGTATGTTTACATAAAGATATTGTACATAAAATAGTAAATTTTTTTCACACAAAAAATATTATCAATCATCAATATTAATTAAAACAAGAAATATATAGTATCTTAACGTATACTTTTGCCCAAAAAAAAGTTTAGATATCAATATTGTGTGGAACATTAGGGTGGCTCACGTTATAAGGGGGAAAATTAAAAATGAAGTTTTGAATGAGCGCACCCCCTAGGAATATACCATTGACCAAAAAAATGATATTCCCAAAGTTTTGGAACAATAGGATTAAAAATGACGTTGCGCCACTCGAGCAAAGTTGGGGTTTCAGTATAAAAAACAGAAATTTTTCAATTCAAGGTCATTTTTATCTTTGCTACTTGTTTCAACAGTTATTAATATATACTCATTTGATAGATAATTAAAATATCTTTTTAATAAGATAGTGATGAGCAAAATCGGATAAAAATTATGCACAAAACACAATAATTAGTTGAGCGACTGTGCTCTGTTTTCTATTTCATACCTTTTAGCTGGCATGCACAATTACGTAATATGTATATACTACGATTTAGTTAATTATTTATAAAAAATTATAATATCGAGAAACCCCTTTTTTTAGTAATTAATATATTGTGTTTATTATGTTTTATAACATAAATCTGACTATGTCAGAAAGGGGCACAGTGCCCCTTTCATAAAGAAGATTCAAAAATTATTAACAGGTCACTTTAAAGAAAACCACTATCATCACATAGATACGGCTGTCCTGGCACAACTCAGATAAGATCTAATCAAGCAAAACATCAGTAATTTAAATCGTGGGAAGAGATCCAATATAACGCTTTGACTGATCGGTATGGTGATATTTTCTTTTCGCATTTAGTGCTGACCAAAGGTGATAAAATTGCCAGGATATATTATACATTTTAGGTTTAAATATAGCATTCGTTTCTCTTGGACTATATATTTACATACTATTAGAATATAACAACCAGAGTCACTACGTACTCGACATTGTTGTTTAAAATAGATACAATGGTAGTGAAAGTCTTTTAAACTATCCCGAATATATATTACGGCTACTGATAAACAGTAAAAGATCGGGAACTTCAAGTTTCCAGATCTTTATTTGTCTGATTAATTCAGCTGAAGGCACTGAATTTGTTTGCTGGCAGTCCTAGGATACGAGCAAAAAAGATAGATGAATGTAGTTAATATATCCATCTATCTACAAACTACATTTGAGGCAGTAAAATAATTAAGTTAACCCATAATAATTTATAAAAGTGAAATAAAAAATTAAAATGAATCTTAGCAGAAATTCATACACTGAGATTACTAATCAAATAACGCCAAGTGTCTGGATAGTGCTCCGATCTATAAAAATAACATGATACAGTTAAATAGAGCAATAACATTTTAAATTTTTTTTAATCAGATCTTACTATTCGTCGCTAAGTTTAGCTACAAACTTATTTATATTGTCACAGTTGTTTTTAATTTATTATTATAAAATAATAATTTATAAGATAAGGTATTACGTTACTATGTAAATCAAAGTTTTATATAGATATCGCTGTAAAATACTTATATTTGTTTTTACTTTCAGGTTCAAACTGGCATGGATATCTTTAGAGTATTCGATTCCCTCAACTATTTGCCAAATTTAATTTTGGGTATGGAAGCTGCCGGTAAGGCTGGTGGTGTTGTAGAAGCTGCGATTTCGTATACAGGTGATGTCAGTGATCCCAAACGTACCAAATATGATCTTAAATACTACACTAATCTGGCTGATGAACTAGTTAAAGCAGGTACACATGTTCTTTGCATTAAGGATATGGCTGGTCTATTGAAACCTCAAGCTGCCAAGTACGAATCTTAATATTAATTTTATTTAAAAAAATATTTATAAAAACACACTAATTTTATATTTAGATTGCTTATAAGCGCTATACGTGAAAAGCATCCAGATGTGCCAATTCATATACATACACACGATACCTCAGGTGCTGGTGTAGCTTCTATGTTAGCTTGCGCTGAAGCTGGTGCCGATGTTGTAGATGTTGCCGTCGATTCTATGTCCGGCATGACTTCGCAGCCAAGTATGGGTGCAGTAGTTGCTTCACTACAAGGTACCGCACTTGATACCAATTTGGATTTGCGCGATGTGTCCGAATATTCAGCTTACTGGGAGCAGGCACGTACATTGTATGCCCCATTCGAGTGCACAACTACCATGAAATCAGGCAATGCTGATGTTTATTTGAATGAAATTCCTGGTGGTCAATATACAAACTTGCAATTCCAAGCATTTTCACTCGGCTTGGGTGATTTCTTTGAGGATGTCAAAAAAGCTTATCGGGAAGCTAATTTGTTGCTGGGAGACATCATTAAGGTAACGCCATCATCAAAAGTTGTTGGTGATTTGGCACAATTTATGGTGCAAAACAAATTAACAGCCGATCAAGTATTAGAAAAGGCCGAAGAACTCTCATTTCCCAAATCAGTAGTAGAATATTTACAAGGCTCAATTGGTACACCACATGGTGGTTTCCCTGAACCCTTACGCTCTCGTGTCTTGAAAGATATGCCACGGATCGAAGGACGTCCTGGTGCAAATTTGGAATCTCTTGATTTTGAAAAACTTAAGAAAGAGTTAAAGGAATCTCACCCACATGTATCAGATCGTGATGTTATGTCAGCTGCCTTGTACCCTGCAGTTACAAATGATTATTTGTTCTTCCGAGAGAGTTATGGTCCAGTAGACAAATTAGATACACGTATTTTCTTAACTGGTCCCAAAGTTGGAGAAGAGTTCGAAGTTAAATTGGAGAAAGGTAAAACCTTAAGTTTGAAAACATTAGCCATGGCTGAAGATTTAACACCAAACGGAGAACGTGAAGTATTCTTTGAAATGAATGGCCAATTACGTTCAGTGCTGATACGTGATAAGGAAGCTGTTAAGGTAAAATTTTGTTGAATCGTATTAAATTTTCTAATACACAATTCTGTTTTTATAGGAATTGCACATACATCCCAAAGCCTCGAAGACCAATAAAAGCGAAGTTGGCGCTCCCATGCCCGGCACAGTGATTGACATACGAGTAAAGGAAGGAGACAAAGTAGAAAAAGGGCAGCCATTAGTAGTGCTATCGGCCATGAAAATGGAAATGGTTGTTCAAGCACCGAAAGCTGGTGTTGTGAAGAAACTTGAAATAACCAATGGCATGAAATTGGAAGGTGATGACTTGCTAATGACTGTGGAGTAAGAATTGTAAAAGAATTGTTACTGTGAATTTGTGAAGTTTGTTTAAAACGTTTTTATCCTATCATGTAGAAGACATTTAAGATGTGAAAAAGGAATATATTAAAATAAATTTTATAGTTAGATTTTACATAGCGTGTTTTGAGGATATTTATAATTAATGTATTACTCTGAACATATATGTAATATATTTAAACAGTTAGAAATTGTTTTTAAATTATAATTACACGCACAAGACATTTAAATGTGAAACTATGTTATTTTGAAATAATTTATATATATTAATCTGTTATGAAATTGTAATTATATGTATGTATGTAATGTTAAGTGTTATGCCGTAAGTGTACTATAAAAATTAATAAAAAATTTTTTTATAATTTCTTAAGGTTTTACTTATTGTTACAATCTCTCTTGTTATTATATTATGTTGAGGCTAGTTGAGTCAGTGCACTGAAACACTTTTACTCTCTTTTAACTATGAAGTTTCTTCATAACCCTTCTTTACACCTTGACTGGATTATTGTTTATCACTTCATCAAACTAAACAATAACTGCATTCCTCCCTGAAGAGCCTGTAACCATTCTAAGATTCGATAACGCGGTGTTGGCAAGCCTGTCAGTTTTCGTAAATAATTTCAGGGTTATATCCTTTACGTATTATTTGATCAGATCAATCTTGAGGTCCCTGAGGATATCATTCATCCTAATGTACCATTGTACCTTGAAAAGTCTTGTCAGAGCCTGGCTTTGTACAATTTCTAGCTGGCGAATAGTAATGTTTGAGGCTTTGCTAAACGCTACACATTCTTATAGAAGTGACGGTGGAATTATTTGGTTATATAACAGCTTCCCGTTCAATATATCATTTATATATACATATGTGTATAATAAAGTATATAGTAAAAATTATCTTAAACAAAAACAGACATAAGTAATGTGTTAATTTAGTTTTTATTCAGATTCTAATTCCTTTATTTAGCTAACTAATTATTTGAAACCCATGAGATACTAGAGATACTCCACTGTTAAAGACGATAAGCTCCACTCGGGAAATTAACTAATATACTCCGCCTATTATTTTACACCAATATTGTCTAAAATTCTGGAGGAGTTACGGTTCTTACATCGCTACTTATTAATGTTCTCTTCCAAATACAATTTTTTAAAATAAGCTAGATCATCAGAGAGATTATGGAAAAATTGGGTTTAAATGTTGGAGATAGAATGTGGAATTAGGTTAATATGCTAAACATAACCTGAGACGCAGTCATACATCAACAGAGTACAGATTTATTTGTAAGTTTGGACATGGAAACAGATGGACAACATCATGTGGAGTTGAGTTGTCACTAGGGCATAAGACCAAGCAGTACTTGGTAGATTCTGTTGAGTAATGATTGCTTCTCTCATTTACCCATTTATCACTCTGTAATATTATCGTTTCGAATAGAATTCTGATACATTCACACCAAAATCAGTTACTTAAGTTCATTCTTCTAGAAAATATTTCTAGAATAAAACAATCAAATTTTTGCTACAAATTTATTTTTATTTTATACTCACTTTAGCTTTTCTGGGGATATTAGTAGATTTTATTAAAAATCTTTCTTACTCTGCTAATACAGAAAACACAGAAAAGTTCCATAATTTTAAGACTTTACTTTCTAGACACGCGTCCATATATTGAAAAACATGAATAAATAAGGTGCTGAAGTTTTATTCCAATTTATCTTTATTCAATACACGTTTACTAAAGATTCAAAGAAAGTGAACCATATAGAATATGTATAAAAATATTACTTAACAAACTATAAATTTGCAAATCTGGTCTTATATTCAACACGTCAAAAAATTATTATTAACTATTATTAAAATTGATTTATATACAATTAACAATAAATTCCAAAAAACAAAGCTCATTTTTCAACTCCGTTGCCCGATTGAAATGTCGCTGAGTATAAGGCGTAATAACTTCGACCATGTTGCTCGTAT